CCCCCTGACCCACCCCATAACACTCCATCATCCTTTGTCGATTCCACCAAGTGCCACAGAACTAAAACCTCACCACCCCATAGGTCTCCAATGCTCCCTTCCATCCACTGTCACCCTACAGCCCCCTGCTGTCCCCTCCCAGTGCCACCCAACCCATCCCCACCCCCACCCCACCGCCCCTCTCGCCCCTCCCCGTGCCACCCCATTACCACCCACCGCCACACTCCCACTGTCCCCACATCCCCAGACGTGGCAGTGGGCGCCCCATACGGCGGTGATGATGGCAGTGGGGCCGTGCTCATCTTCCGGGGTCAGCGTGAGGGGCTGAGCCCGACCCCAACGCAGCGTCTCAGCAGCCCCTTCCCCGGCCCTGCCGCCTTCGGCTTTGCGCTCCGTGGTGCCACCGACATCGATGGCAACGGGTACCCAGGTATGGCCATGGGTACCCCAATATGGCCATGGGCACCCAGGTATGGCCATGGGTACCCCAGTATGGCCATGGGCACCCCAATATGGCCATGGATATTTTGATATGGCCATGGGTACCCAGGTATGGCCATGGGTACCTTGATATGGCCATGGATATTCTGATATGGCCATGGGTACCCCAATATGGCCATGGATACCCCAGTACGGCCATGGGTACCCCCACATGGCCACGGGCACCCAGATATGGCCATGGGTACCCCCATATGGCCATGGGCACCCCAATATGGCCATGGATACCCCAGTATGGCCAAGGGTACCCTTATATGGCCACGGGCACCCAGGTATGGCCATGGGTACCCCAATATGGCCATGGGTACCCCCATATGGCCAAGGGCACACTGATATGGCCATGGATACCCCAGTATGGCCATGGGTACCCCCATATGGCCATGGGCACCTTGATATGGCCATGGGCACCCAGATATGGCCAGGAGCACCCTGATATGGCCATGGGCACCTTGATATGGCCTTGGGTACACTGCTATGGCCATGGGCACCCTGTTATGGGGCATGGCTGTGCCACCCTGGGGCCACCCATGTGCCACCGTGTGTCACCAACCCCTCTGTGCCCCACAGATCTGCTGGTCGGCGCTTTTGGGGTCTCCAAGGTGGCGGTGTACCGGTGGGTGCTGCCGTGGGGGGTTGGGGGGCTCTGCCCCATAGCGACGGGCGCTGATGGCACCGCAATGCAGGGCACGGCCTGTGGTGGTGGCCCAGGCACAGCTGAGCGTCCCCAGCGGGCTGAACCCACAAGTGATGGAGTGCGTCCTGCCAGGGAGTGACAGCAGGGTCACCTGGTGAGAGGGGACACAACGCTGGGGACACCGCCAAGGGGACACCATTGGGGCACCATCTTGGGAACCACACTCAGCGTCACCATCCCATATGGGACACTGCCATGGGGACACCGCTCTGGGGACACTGTGGGGACACGGCCATAGGGACAGCATGGGGGCAGGATTGGGGCACCATCCTGGGGACACTGCCATGGGGACACCACTTCGAGGACACTTTGGGATACAGCCATGGGGACACCACTTTGGGAACACCAACACTGGGACGTTCTATGGGGACACCATGGGGACACAGTCATGGGGACCCTGCCATGGGGACATCATGGGGACAGAACTGTAGGAATATGGCCATGGGGACACACAGTGGGGGAACCATGGGGACACCACTTTGGGGTCACCACCACTGGGATGCTCCAGGGGGGCACCGAGGAGACACCGCCATTGGGACGCTGTGGGGACAGAGCCATGGGGACGTCACTTTGGGGACATCACCATGGGGACACTATGAGGACACCATGGGAACATAGCCATGGGGACACTGCGGGGACAGAGGCATGGGGAGACTGCCTTGGGGACACCGCCACTGGGACGCTCTATGGGGGCACCATGGGGACAGAGGCATGGGGACACTGTGGGGACAATGCCATGGAGACACCACTTTGGGGACACTGGGGACAGAGTCATGGGGACACTGCTTCGGGGACACCGCCACTGGGACGCTCTATGGGGGCACCATGGGGACTCCATGGAGACACAGCCGTGGGGACACCACTCTGGGGACACAGCCGTGGGGACACTGTGGGGACAGAGCCATGAGGACACTGCTGTGGGGACACTCTATGGGGGCACCACGGGGACACGACCACCGGGACATCACTTTGGGGACATCACCATGGGGACACCATGGGGACATGGTCATGGGGACACCGTGTGGGGTACCGTGGGGACACCCTTTTGGGGACAGCCATGGGGACATGGTCATGGGGACACTGTATGGGGACACCCCTTTGGGGACAGCCATGGGGACACCCCCCACGGCCGTGTCCCCACAGTTTCCCAGTGCAGCTGTGTGTCTCCGTGTCGGGACGCCGCATCCCTCACAGCATCCGTGAGCGCAGCGTGACGGGGCGGCTGGGTTGGTGGCACCGGCGCGGCGTTGTCACCACGTTGTCACCTCAGGGCTGATGGCAGAGCTGCAGCTGGACCGCCTGAAGCAGCGGGGACACCGGAGGGTCCTATTGCTGCAGGGACAGCAGGCGGCGTGGCAGCAGGAGGTGACCTTGGATCCGGGGGTGTCACCGCAGTGTCACCGACTGGCTGCGTATCTGAGGGTACGGCATGGTGGCACTGGGCGGGGGGTGGTGACATTAAATATGGGATGGGGGCGTTGGGTATGGGATGGTGACACTGGGTTTGGGGCAGTGACATCCAGTGTGAGATGGTGGCGTTGGGTATGGGATGGTGACATTAGGTGTGGGGTGGTGACATGGGGTTTGGGACCATGACATCAGGTGTGGGATGGAGACATTGGGTGTGGGATGGTGACACTGGGCTTGGGGTGGTCACACAGGGTTTGGGACAATGACATTGAGTATGGGATGGTGACATTGGATATGGGATGGTGGCATTGGGTATGGGATGGTGACACTGGGTTTGGGGCAGTGACATCGAGTGTGAGATGGTGGCATTGGGTATGGGATGGTGACACTGGGCTTGGGGTGGTCACACAGGGTTTGAGACAATGACATTGAGTACGTGATGGTGACATTAGGTGTGGGGAGGTGGCATTAAATATGGGATGGGGGCGTTGAGTATGGGATGGTGACATTGGATGTGGGGCAGTGACATTGGGTTTGGGGCAATGACATTGAGTGTGAGATGGTGACATTGTGTGTGGGGTGGTGACATGGGGTTTGGGACCATGACATCAGGTGTGGGGTGGTGACATTGGGTGTGGGGTGGTGACATTGGATGTGGGACAGTGACACGGGTTTGGGGCAGTGACATTGAGTATGGGATGGGTATGGAATGTCAGGTGTGGGACAGTGGCATTGAATATGGGATGATGACACTGAGTATGGGATGGTGACACTGGGTTTGAGGTGGTGACGTCAGGTATGGGACAGTGACTGAATATGGGATGGTGACATCAGGTTCGGGACGGTGACATCAGGTTTGGGACAGTGACATCAGGTGTTGGGATGGTGACACAGAGTATAGGATGGGGACATTGGATATGAAATGGTGACATCAGGTATGGGATGGTGGCAATGAATATGGGATGGTGGCATCGGGTTTGGGCCAGTGATGCTGCTTATGGGACAGTGACATCAGATATGGGGCGGTGAGGTCGGTGTGGGGGCAGTGACAGCCAACACGAGGCAGTCCACCCCACGGAGTGCCACCGCTGTGTCCCAGGACGAAGGGGACTTCAGGGACAAGCTGAGCCCCATTGTCACCAGCCTCAGCCTGGCGCTGCCGTCCCCGCATCCCCACGGCCTGGGGTTGGTGCTCTATGGGGACACCCACGTGCAGGCGCAGGTAGGGGACAGCGGGGACACGTGGGGCGCTGCCACCCCTCACCATCCCTTGGGGTGCCCCCACTCGCTGTCCCCACGTCCCCCACGTCCCCGCGTCCATCCATCCCTGGCGACGTCCCCGTGCTGTCCCCCCCCCCAGACCCACATCATCCTGGAGGACTGCGGCGACGACAACATCTGCGTCCCCGACCTGCACCTCTCTGCCCACACGTGAGCCCCCCCAGGACCCCCGCAGCCCCCACCCCCTCCCCAGCCCCCCCTGACCCGCTGTCCCCAGGCTGGACGCACGGCTGCGGATCGGCGATGACAACACGGTGACACTGCGGGTCAGGGCCACCAATGCAGGGGAGGGGGCTTTCGAGGCCGAGCTTTGGGTGCAGCTCCCGGATGGCAGCTTCTATCAGCGGGCACTGAGTGACACAAAGGTGGGTGGCAGCGGGGCTGCGATGGGGACACTGGTATGGGGACATTGGTACGGGGTGGTGACACCGAGTATGGGACAGTGGCACAGGGTATGGGATGGTGACATTGGGGAGGGGGTGGTGACATCAGGTGTGGGGTGGGGACATGGGACATGGAGTGGTGACACTGAGTATGGGACAGTGACACTGGTTGTGGGATGGTGACAATGGGTTTGGGGTGGTGACACTGAGTATGGGACAGTGACTCTGGTTGTGGGGTGGTGACACTGAGTGTGGGGTGGTGCCAATGGGTACGGGGTGGTGACACTGAGTATGGGGTGGTGACATCAGGTGTGGGACAATGGCACAGGGTATGGGATGGTGACAATGGGTATGGGGTGGTGGCATTGAGTAGGGGGTGGTGACATCGGGTATGGGGTGGTGACACTGAATATGGGGCAGTGACACTGGACGTGGGGTGGTGACATCTGCTATGGGATGGTGACATTGGGTTTGGAATGGTGATGTCAGATATGGGACAGTGACACTGACTATGGGATGGTGACATTGGATGTGGGATGGTGACATTGGGTTTGGGATGATGACACTGGGGACGTGGTGTCACCCGATGTCACCGCTATGGGGACAGGAGAAGCTGAGCTGCAACCCCAGGAAGGAGAACGGAACCCACATGGTGGTGTGCGAGATTGGCAACCCCATGAAGGCGAGCACGCAGGTGGGTGGCACTGTCACCTCCCGTGTCCCCTCCTGTCCCCGTGTCCCCTCATATCACCTCGTGTCCCCTCGTGCCGCCCCGCAGATCGCTGTGGCCATGGAGCTGAGTGTCACCGGGTTGGAGGACGCGGGCGATGCCATCACTTTCCATCTGCAGCTCAGGAGGTGATGCCGTCCCCATGCCGTCCCCACGCTGTCCCCATGCTGTCCCCACGCTGTCCCCGTGCCATGTCCCCAAGTGGTGCTGTGCTCACCCTGCTGTCCCCGCAGTAAGAACAGCCCCAGTGTCACCGCAGCTGTGACCATCCCTGTGGAAGCGCACGCGGAGATGGAGCTGAGGGGGTGAGGATGAGGGGCTGCGGGGCCGTGGGGCCGCGGGGAGGTGACCCCACATGTCCCCGTGTGTCACCAGCATGTCCCTGCCTGCCACCACGGTGCTGCCCATGGAGTGGCAGCGGGCTGGGGACAGCCGCCGGCCGGAGGACCACGGGGTGCGTGTGGAGCACGTCTACCAGGTAGGGGATGGCACAGGGGGGTGGGGGTGGTGCGGCCCCAAAGTGCCACCGAGTGCCACCCAATGTCACCCCACAGCTGCACAATAAGGGCCCGGCCACTGTCACCAACGTCACCCTGAGCCTCCACGTCCCCATCGCCGCGGGCGGCCGCACGCTGCTGTACCTCCTGGAGATGGGCACCGAGGGTGGCATCGCCTGCGTGCCACCCCCAGACCTCAACCCCATGCAGGTGACACACGGGGACGAGCGTGGGGACGGCGCGGGTGGCACCGTGCTGAACGGGTGTCCGTCTGTCCCAGCTGGAGGTGACCCAACCCCCAGATATGGAGCACAATGGGACACGGCGGCGGGAGCGCAGGGATGTGGGGGACGAGGAGGAGAGCGTCAGTGTGGTGAGAGGGGGACGTGGGGATGGCTGGGGACGGGGGGACGTGTGACATGTGACATGTGGGGTGTGACGTGTGCTGTGCCCACAGGACTGTGGCAATGCCACCTGCGCAGAGGTGTGGTGCCAGGTGGGCAGCATGGCGCAGGGACAGCGCGTGTTGGTGGCCGTCCGTGCGCTGCTCTGGATGGAGACCCTGCAGCAGGTAGTGGCACTGTGCCACTGCTGTCCCCTCTGTCCCCATGGTGTCCTCGTGGTGTCCCCACAGCGTCACCACTGTGTCCCCATATTGCCCCCATGGTGTCCCCATGGTGTTCCCACATGTCACTGTGTGTCTCCATGATGTCCTTGTGGTGTTCTTGTGGTTTCCTTGTGGTGTCCCCATGGTGTCCCCATGGTGTCCCCATTTTGTCCCAGTGTCCCATTCTGTCGCTGTGTGCCTTCATGGCGTCGCCATCGTGTCCCTATGATGGTGTCCCCATTTTGTCCTCATGGTGTCCTTATGGCATCCCCATGGTGTCACCCTGTGTCCCCATGATGTTCTCGTAGTGTCTCCACGGTGTCACTGTGTGTCCTCATGATGTCACCACCATGTCCCCATGGTGTCCTCATGGTGTCCCTATGATGTTCTCATAGTGTCCTCACGGTGTCACCACTGTGTCCCCATGGTGTCCTCGCAGTGTCCCCATGGTGTCCCCGTGGGGTCACCGTGTGTCTCCATGATGTCCTTCTGCTTTCCTTGTGGTGTCCCCATAGTGTCCCCATAGTGTCCCCATGGTGTCCCCATGATGTCCCCACTGTGTCCTTATGGTGTCCCCGTAGCGTCCCTATGGTGTCCCTGTATGTCCCCATGATGTCCTCATAGTGACCCCATGGTGTCACTGTGTCTCCACAGTGTCCTTATGGTGTCCCTGCAGTGTCACCGTGTGTCTCCATGTGCTGTCCTTCTGCTTTTCTCATGGTGACCCCGCGGTGTCCCTGTGATGTCCTTGTGGGGCCCCATGGCATCACCACCATGTCTCCATGCTGTCCTCACAGTGTCCCCACGGTGTCCTCATGGTGTCCCCATTGTGTCACTGTGTGTCCCCACGATGTCCCCATGATGCTCCCACAATGTCCCCATGGTGTTCCCATAATGTGTTCCCATGGTGTCCTCACAGCATTCCCACGTTGTCCCCGTGGTGTCCCCATGGTGTGTCCCCATGGTATCATTGTGGTGCCTTTGTGGTGTCCCCATGGTGTCCCCATGGTGTCCCCATGGTGTCCTCTTGGTTTCTCAATGGTTTCTCAATGGTGTCCCCATGGTGTCCTCTTGGTGTCCCAAAGGTGTCCCCGTGTTGTCTCCTCTGTGTCCCCATGGTGTCCCCATGTTGTCTCCTCTGTGTCCCCATGGTGTCCCCACAGTGGTGCCGTGCCACAGCCCTGGGCTGTGGCAAACACCCGTGGGGACACCGTGTGCCATCCCCACGTGTCCCCACGTGTCCCCAGCAGGATGACCACCCCCAGCACCTCTCCATCCGCTCATGGGGTTCCTTCAACACTTCAGCCATGCCGTACCACATCCGGCCCCACACGCTGCCCCACGGCACTGCCACGGTACGGTGCTGTCCCTCGGGGTCTCCCGGTGTCCCCGCTGTGGTGGCACTGTCCCCGTGTCCCCCATCCCCCCAGGCTGTCACCGAGGTGCTGCGCTCGCGGCCCGTTGCCGTCCCGGTGTGGTGGGTGGTGCTGGGGGTGCTGGCGGGGCTCCTCCTGCTCGCCCTCCTCGTCCTCCTGATGGGGATGGTGAGTGTTGGGGGGGGGTGGGGGGGTGGGGGAGGACCCCGCAGTGGGGCCCTGATGGGCGCTGTGGGGTCACGTTGTCCCCTCCTGCAGATGGGGTTCTTCAAGAGGACGCGGCCGCCGGCGGAGGGGGACATCGGGGAGGGGGCAGTGGGACAGGAACAGGGACAGGGCCCGGAGATGGGGGATGGCCAGGGGTAGGGGAGGGACCCCATGTCCTGCCCCCCCTCACGTCCCCCATGTCCCATCCCCACCCCATGTCCCCAACATCTATGGGTTCCCAACGTCCCAAGCACCCTACACCTGCCCCAGCGTCCCCATCCCTGCCCCAGTGTCCTCAGAGCCCCACGCCTGCCCCGTGTCCCCAACAGCTGTGGGTCCCAGTGTCCCTGTAGTCCCACCCCAGTGTCCCCATCCCAGCCCCACTGTCTCCATTCCTACCCCACTGTCCCCAACATCTGTGGGTTCTCAATGTCCCCATCCCTCCCCCAGTGTCCTCAGTGCCCCACACCTGCCCCAATGTCCCTATAGCCCCCCCAGTGTCCCAACCCTGTTGTCCTCAATGTCTGTGGGTTCCCAGTGTCCCCAAATCCTGCCCTAACGTCCCCAACCCTGCCCCAGTGTCCCCACCATCTATGGGTTCCCAATGTCCCCCTTCCCACCCCAATGTCCCTATAGCCCCACACCTGCCCCATGTCCCCATAGCCACCCCTTCCCCCCATGTTCCTGCCCTGATGTCCCCAACATCTGTAGGTTCCCAGCGTCCCTGTAGTCCCACCCCAATGTCCCCACCCCTGCCCCAACGTCCCCAGAGCCTCACGCCTGCCCCAGTTTCCCCATAGTTTTGCCCCCATCTCCCCATCCCTGCCCCATTGCCCCCCACACGCCATACCTGCCCCAGTGTCCCCAACGTCTGTGGGTTCCCAGTGTCCCCATAGTCCCACCCCAGTGCCCCACACTTGCCCCAGTGTCCCCAAAATCTATGAGCTCCCAATGTCCCCATCCCAAGGTCCCCAGCACTCCTCTCCTGCCCCAATGTCCCCTCACTCCTGTTTCAGTGTCCCCATAGTCCCGTCCCCATGCCCCCCTCCTTTCCCCAATGTCCCCAGCACCCCACACCTGCCTCGATGTCCCCATTCCCACTCCGATGTCCCCAACATCTGTGGGTTCCCAATGTCCCCCTTCGCACCCCAATGTCCCCAGCACCCCACACCTGCCCCAATGTCCCCGTAGTCCCACCCCAATGTCCCTGCCCCATTGTCCCCAACATCAGTGGGTTCCCAATGTCCCCGTAGCCCCACCCCACTGTCCCCATCCCCCCCAGGTTCCTATAGGCCTCCCCCCCACTTCCCCCTCCAATAAATCTCAGCAATGCACTTGGTGACACTTGGTATTGAGGTGACCCAATGGGGGGGGAATCCCTGTAGGGGGGTGTCCCTATGGAGGGTCCTTATGGGGCAGATGCCTATTGGGGTGTCTCTATAGGGGTGTCCTTATTGAAGGGTCCCTATGAGTGTGTCCCCATGGGGGCGTCCTTATGGGGGGTCCCTATGGGGGGATGCCTACTGGGGTGCCTCTATGGGGGATGTTCCTACTGGGGGGGTCCCTATGGGGAGGCCCTGTGGGGCGACTGCAGTGGGGGTGCCCATACTGGGGGGTGTCTCTATGGGAAAGCCCTATGTGGGGTGTCCCTATGGAGGGGTCCCTATAAGGGAATGACTGTTGGGGTGCACCTGTGGGGGTGTCCCTGGGGCGGGGGGGAGTTACTATGGGGGGTCTCTGGGGGGAGCCCTTATGGGTGTCTCTCTGAGGCTGTCCTTATG